TTGTCTCGGTTGCTTTATATATCCCATTCTTCCAAGTAAGGAGTTAATGTTCTCCGTCAAAATTTCAAGATTATCGTAATGCTTAGTTAATGTTTCCCACTTTATACTGTTATCCTCCACAGCAGGGGCGTGTTTTTTTTTTTTGTTCTTCGGTAGTGAGCCAGAATAGGTCCATTTCTGCTTTGTTGCATTTGGAAAATCATCTGTCTCTCTTCTACCTCTTCCTTTTAAATAGTTAGTTTAGACGACAGAGGCATATAACAAACATGGCGTCGTTTAGTCTAAGTAAATTTATGAATGCAGATATAATAGAATGTGAGCTGTACGTGTGATAAACGTTTTTATGGTATAACAGCCTTATTAGGACATTCCTGTCGGGACGATAAGCTGAATAAATATAAGAACTATTCGGACAATAACAGTAATGGAACGACTATTTGATATTCTGGGAAAGGGGGGGGGGGGGTGCAGGAGGATTTTTTGCGGATTTATTATTCATTTTAATCTGTCGCTAAGCATGCCTTTACCAGGCCACTATATTCATAATCAAAATCCTCCTGTCCCCCCAAAAAAAAATATCAAATGGTTATTCCCTTATTTAACACGAGTTAAAATTGAAAGATTTTTGGTTGCATATTTTATCGTTCAGTGACAAATATTTCATGCATGTTCAGGAAAACACGAGTAAAAAAGTCAAGTATATAATAAAAAAAAATAAGGAGATGTGGTATGATTGCGAATGAGGCAACTATTCACCGGAGTTCAAATGAAGCGGATGTAATGAATTATAGGCAACCATACGGCCTTCAACAATGACAAAAACCCATACCATATATAGTCGGCTATAAAAGGCCCCGACATGAACAATGTGAAACCATTCAAACGAAAAAAACTAACGACCTAATTATATATAACAAAACAATTTACAAAAATCATATCATGAACCAACGACAACCACTGAACTGCAGGCTCCTGACTTGAGACGGGCACATAAAGAATGTGGTAGGGTTAAACATGTTTGTGAGCGCTCAACCTTCCCCTAAACTAGGAGAGTGGTGTAACAAGATACAAGATACAAACTGTACAAAATCAGTTGCAGTTGGATTAACCCAAAGATCGATACGAGACACAAAAACAACTAACATAAAAACAATAGACACAAAGCACCAACATAAGAGTATTTGCAGTTACCTAAAGTTTGTTCAAAGCCAATTACAACTGACAAATAAATCTTGATCTCCTAGACTAAAGTATTAATCAGTACATAACCAACGGTTTTATTCCTAAACAGTCTACGAAACGCCATGACCTTGTATGCTTTGTATACATATACAGTTAAGGTTCTGGAAACGTAGTGGTCCGAAGGTTTTGACCATCGAAATTTTGCAATAGAAATAGTGAGGAACAGCAGAAGTAGATGTAAGAAGATGTGGTATGATTTCCAATGAGAAACTCTCCATCAAAGTCACAATTTGTAAAAGTAAACAATTATAGGTCAAAGTACGGCCTTCAACACTGAGCCTTGGCGCACACCGAACAGCAAGCTTTAAAGGGCCCCAAAAATGACTAGTGTAAAACCATTCAAACAGGAAAACCATATATAATCTATATATAAAACGAGAAACGAGAAACACTTATGAACCACATCAACAAACGACAACCACTGAACATCAGGTTCTTGACCTAGGACAAGTGCAAACAAATGCAGAGGGTTTAAATGTTTTAATAGGCGCCAACCTTCACCTGTACTAAACAATAGTGTAACATCACAACATAGAAAGACGCACTATAAAATATCAATTGAAATGGCTTAACTCAATCAAAAGACATATTAAATAAAACAAGTGAACATACATCGAACGAATAAATTTGATCTATGACATAATGTCAATACAAAATTAATAAAACAAGGGGATTAGATGTTTAACAATATCAGAAAGACAACCATAACATTGGAAAAAATGCAGCCAAATAAAATAACGTACACAGGTGAATAAAAATAAGGACCACCAGGAAAAAAAGATTTTGAGAACACTGCGATATCTTTAATATACAAAAATCATCCAGTTTGGTTACTTGAAAAAAATTTGGTAGACAAAATGTCCTTTTCGATCAGACAAACATTTACAAATTCCTGTACAGTTTAAGATTATTTCTGAAAATCAAATGGTCAAAGCTTTAAGCCGGATTTGTTTTTCAAAATTGAGTTAGGAAAGCACAAAGAAAAATTGTCAAGAACACAGCGATATCTTCCAATCAATTTTCTTTGTTTTTACACTTTTTGTATAATTACTTCAATGCCAAAACAGAGCACACTATTACAGTCATGTCTACCGAATGAACTGACGTATCTTAATTTTCTAATAAATCATCATAAACTTCATTTATGTCATCCAACATAAAACATTCTGCTATATTCGACGGCAAATTTAATTCTTGTTTTATTGCTTCTTCTACAGGATATCTCCAGAAGAGGTGCAGTTTCATTTTTTGTTTTGGACTCTTCATCAGAAGACATCCTGGAGATGTACAGAAGAGACCAATAAAAAACGCCCCAGATATATGATTTTTAATGTTACGATTATATCCCTCTAATATGAAATCTAAACCCTGATGAGCATTGATGAGACCACTAAAAGGTCTCGTGTATTTAAACAATTTCGAATTCCTGGTGGCATGAGGAATCTATCGCAGTGATTTTTATACTGAACAATTATGGTTACTTCATTGGAAATTTCACTGTTTCACATGAAATAAATGCACCTGTACAATGCACAACAATGGACAAAACCTGTTCAACTACTTTTACAAAGAGAAAAAGAAGGTCAAATCGTCTAGCCAGTACACCACATTTTTAAATCTGTGCAGGCAAATCGAAGAGTATGTTATATATTTTATTTTTAATACAGTGGCTGAACAAAAATATTTATTATGAGAGTCGTAGACACTATATAAGTTGACTGTTTTTCCACTAATTCCATGTGTTTTAAGTGGTAGTAAACTCGTAGAAGCCCATAATGCATTATAATTCATTGAGTCGATCGGTCAGTTGACATGGTCATGTGTACCTTCTTTTTTGGGAAATAATTACGCAAGTATATACTGACGTCAGGAAATCTAGTGGTTCTGACCTGTTAAAAGGCAGGTAACAATCGATTTCAGACTCGATTAAAAATAATTCATAAAACTCTCCTATTTGTCGCGTGAAGTAATTCCGGGCTTATTAACGTATATTTTTTATTAAACATATTCTATTTGCCAATCATATTTTTCTGATGGAATGTATGCAAAATTATAATTACAATTTCATAATGGAAAATAACGTTACTCCACAATCTTTTTCTCGATTCGCACTTTCCATAGACTAGTTACACATTTTTTAAAGGCATTTGTACATGTAACCATTCCATTGGTCATGCGTTCAGCCTGACATTTCAGCTTTCATTAACGTCAACTACATGCACTGACATTTTAGCTTTCATATATAAAGCAACGGTTTATACGACAGTTGTATTCGGAAATTTTATAAAAATGATTTTTTTATCATCAGTTAAAATTCTTGTACTATCGATTTGTTTTTTAAATGAAGGTAAGATTTTCTTTCGTATGGTATACAAACTATTTCTGCAAGTTAAGTTACATAATTAAATTACTTTGATGTGAAACACATTCAGCGAAATGCCATGATTTACTAAATTTAGCTGCAGAAATAGATACACAATTGCTTTGACATTTGTCAACTCGGACACATTATTTTGACTACGAACCGACCAGTCTCTGTTCTTCTCCTACATGCCGCCTGCTTAGCGGAGAAGCAACAATTACCAATTTTCAAGACTTTGGTTTGACCCGCCTGGTGATCAAACTCACGACTTACTACATTCGAGATAAGTTGGCTTTGCTAATCACTTACAACAACTATATTGTCAGATCGATGTCTAGAAATAGTAATTCTAATGATCTTAAAAGAAATTAAAGTATTTTGTGTGATTAAGGGATATTGTTTTAGCAGTAGCTGATTTCAGTTCATTCGTTTTCCGAAGCGAAATTTATAAATATATATATATATATATATATATAAGTCTAAATTGAAAACAACGTTCAAACCTATGATTGCGTTGGATAAAACCCGTATTTTTTTTACGTGTGCATGCGAAACAAATTTCTTGGTAGAGGGGTCTAAATACAGCACAAACAACATTTTCCAAAAGACCAAAAAAGTGAAAAAGTATATTTTAACAAAACGCATTTGACTAACAGGTCGAACAACGAATGTTCTTAAACCCTGCTGACTGCCATTGGCAATTGCCAAATAAACGGATCACAAGATGTTACAAAATGGATCTGTATCATTAAATTAATACCAAACAGAAAATGTCGTACTGTTTCACCAATGTCTCAGGTTTGCGGGAGGGTTTGGCGCCAACAAAACATAGTTAACCCCGCCACATTCTGTATGTGTCTGTCCCAAGTAAGGAGCCTGTACTTCAGTGCTTGTCGTTTGTTGCTGTATATTTCATTTGTTTTTCGTTTAATGTTTTTTTACATAAATCAAGCCATCATTTTTCTCGTTTGATTTGTTTTACATTTGTCGTTTTGGGGCTTTTTATAGCTTGCTATGCGGTTAGGAGAATGCTCATTGTTGAAGGCCGTATGATTACCTATAGTTGTTAACTTCTTCGTCAGTTGATCTTTGGTGGAGAGTTGTCTCATTCGCAATCATACCACATCTACTTAATTTTATATCTGTATTATTTAGAGTCTAGAGGATACATGTACACTCAATTATATAATAGTTTTGCTTTCTTTCACTTTGGATTTCATGTCATTTTGAGATTTAAAGTTACTGAATTTCCTGGTATCATCAAACTTATCATGAGAATTAATTTTGTTTTCAGGCAGCAATTAAAAAAAACAGTATCTCTGCCTATTTTGGTAAATTTATGGTGTACGAGTGCTGTCTTTTTAACGATTACGTTTATCAAATTATTTTTGTTATGATGATAGGATTTGGCATTCTTCAAAGAAAATACAAAAACAATAGACGTCACAAAACAGTTTCCGGTAAAACAGAAACAGAAAAACAATCCAAGCATGCGCCAAGATCTCAGTTTGTGTCCGATTCCATAGAGGGACATTATAGATTCGCTGCAGTGGCATCTGATGCTGGACCTCCATGTGCAAGGATCGGAACGTAAGATTATATATTTACATTTGATCGGAACGTAAGATTATATATTTACATGTGATCGGAACGTAAGATTATATATTTACATTTGATCGGAACGTAAGATTATATATTTACATTTGATCGGAACGTAAGATTACATATTTACATTTGATCGGAACGTAAGATTATATATTTACATTTGATCGAAACGTAAGAATTTATATTTACATTTGATCGGAACGTAAGATTATATATTTACATTTCAAGAATTAAAACAAAGAAGTCGCATGGTAAGGCCCGTTATTTTACCTCCAGATCACATAAACATAAACTAGCACTTTGGAAATGTAACTTAAGGGCCTATCATAGCTTACTATACGATATTGGTTTTGTCTCTTAGTTGAAGACCGTACGATGGCCCATTGTTGTCCACATCCCGTGACGTCATTTGGTTGCAGGTAGATAGGTGTATGATTGGTTATCATTCAAATTTACCACATCTTTTTTATAATGAATTCACGAATGTGCAAAGCGCATGAGTTGATTTTCAGTGTTGTTCGGACACCAATGTAATAACATGAAATAATACTTTAACATAATACTTATCAAAGATTAATAAACTACTAGTATATTAAAAGTTTACAAACCGAAGAAAATCAAGTTTAATTGTATTGTAGCCATATCATGAGAAGACGGCATGGGTCAGCTGTAGATGCAGCCATTGCCACTCTACTATGCCAGTGTATTTCTAACTTTCAAAGCTGTGGCATAGGAGGTGGCTTCTTCATGACAGTTTATAATAAGTAGGTATTTGTAATAAACTAAAACAGATCGAAAAATCAGCTAACACTTAAAATTGAAGCTTTATAATACGAACAATAAAACAAACAAACAAACACACAGAAAACAAAAACAAACAAACAAACAAACAGAAAACAAAAACAAACAAAGAAAATCTATAATACCAGAAATCGGGATTGCTATCACGTGTTTTATAAGGATAAACATGTTTGTGGTGCTCGTGTAGCACTGGTTGTACTGTCCGGAAGTCCATAAACTACGGCTTCCGGTAATGAGTCATATCTGGCTTGTGAACAAGGAACATTATATGAATATGCCAGTCTCCAGTCATTTGTACAATAAAAAAATATTTAGAAAATGCATCAAAAAGCAATTAAGTTGGTTATTATACAAATATAATGTGATAGAGGTCAGTTTTTAAAGTCAACTCAATAATAAGTAAACGTTTAGTGTTTTATTGCAAATACATTGTCAAATTTAATTCGAGACGGTCTATCAAAGCAGGAATTGAAAATCATCCTTTCAACAGTTTTGTACATACAAGTTAACGCAATCCGTCGGGGAATCGGTTCACATTTATTATTGCCACTAACTTTTGTATGAGAAAATGTATAGAAGAGTTAACTTATCGCAGACAACATCTTGATTTCAGGGAGAGAAGATCTGCATACACGATCATAGCTCGTGAAACGGCTCCTGGTGAAGCTAATGAGACCATGTTTGTTGACAGATCATCTACAGAAGGTACCAACACTTGGAGAACTTATGTTGCTTTACCATAATGGCATTAGTTTAATGAAAAGAATGTATTCATATTTAAATTGAATTTGGATCGTTTTCTAGAAGTGCAATTAACCATTTACTTTGTAAACCCGTTTTGTAGATATCGACAAAAAACCAAAACGAATATTCCTTTAATAGAAATTTAAAGGGCGATACTAGTAATTGCGGCGGACGACATTTTAGCGCGAAAGTATAGCCCATTTTAGCGCCAGATTTTTTACCTACTTTAGCGAAAAGTGAAATTATCAATGCCCATTTTAGCGAAAGTAATTCATTCATTGTAGAATAATTAGCTCTAATAGTATCAAGACCGCATACTATAAAAATATGTCCATAAAAATACATCACTTAAAGTCTAAAAAGTTAACTTAACTTAAATGTTTAACTGTCAATTTATGTACACACTTTGTACCAATGAACCTACGTAACTGTCTCTTGATATACCTATTGTACTAGATTGTTCATAAAATTGCGATAAGATCTGTTCCTCTTCTTCACATCTTGTATAGATTGAAGAGCAGATGCATTGATACTTCTAAATAGAAGTTGTTGTTTGTAATTTGATGATAGTATCCAAAAAACGAAAAAGGCTAAGTGACGTCAGCAATCACATGTTACACTTTTATTTCTTCTGTTTGTTTCAACAACAATTATTTCCATGATTATCCAAATTGTATATGCAAACAACTTAAACATTAACCCAGCATAAATTACTGTTCACGGTTTATAGAATGGCGAGTTTCATTCAACCAGGTAAGTTGGGCTACCGAAAATACAGATGAACGGATTAATTTGGCGCTAAAATGGGCTAACATGTCTGCGCTAAAATGGCCCCTAGTTGTTTAAAAGTTTTCGCTAAAATGTCTTGCACCCAGTAGTTGAGTATTGGTATAACTAGGGTTTTTTTCCCCGCAATATTTGTGGAGAGTCTAGTCTCGTCCGTGCTTGTACCTTGTTGTATCTTTATCTTTGGTCTGTCTTTCGTGGAATTAAGTGTCAATATTTGATATTATCAGGTTATTATTACATCTAATTATAAGTGTCGGGTCACGATTTGCTTCAAACGATTTCTTTTGAAATTAAAAATAAATATATATATTTTTTTTTTTTTTTTTTATTCTGTTAGTAATACGCATAGAAATAAATAAAAGTGCATCAAGATGTTTTTGATTTTAGGTGGATTGGCTGTTGGTATTCCTGGTGAGATACGTGGTCTTTGGTTAGCTCATCAGATTGGAGGCAAACTTCCATGGAAAGACTTATTTCAGCCGTCAATCAAATTATGTCGGGAGGGTGTTGTGGTAGGAAACCCCACCGCCTTTGCTATATCTCGTCAAACTGAAAATATTAAAAAATTCCAGGGGTTAAAGTGAGTATATTGTTGCCAGCATATCTGATATTTATTGGATCTCCGCTGTTTGCACTGCGTTTAAAAATACCAAACACCTGATTAAAGAGAGCATGCGTAGTTGTAATGTAAACCATCTGTTTCCATGTCAAGATTGCGACGATTTATTGTCTGCAATTGTTTGACAAATGGTCTATCAAGCTCAATTTTACTCGCGGAAGCTTAAACTCAATTAATCTTTAGTTACCTTTGGAAAGAAAGATAAAGATTGAATTCCCCAACAAATTATTCAAATTATTCCATCATTGTTTGTATTCATTTCTACCGAAATACTTATAAGATTATTAGAAATAATTATCACTATTTACATTTTCTTGAACAAAATGTACTAAAATACAATGTAGATCAAGCAACGTTCAATCTGGTAAAATTAATTAATTTAAATATAATTATGTGATACAAATAATGTTTTGTCTCCTCTGGGATTCAATAAAAAAAAATTATTCAAAAGAGACATATTTTTATTAAATATTTGGACTTCTAAATACACTTTCTTTGAAATCGTTTATATTTTTGCAGAGATTTAGTAGTAAACCCAGAAACAGGGCTTTTGTATGAGGCTGGGGATAAAATAAAAAGGCCAAAATTAGCCAGAACTTTAAAAATCATTGCTAATGAAGGTGTGGATGCATTCTATAATGGCAGATTGAGTAAAGATATAGTGGCGGACATACAGGATGCGGGTGAGATGTAGCAGAGTCGTATACAACCCGTGATGATGGAAACTTTGCATTACTGCTTAGGCCAAAAATATAGTTCTGATTCCTACCTCCCTAACTGTCTTATGATGTAATGCCTACCTTTAAAATATATTATAGACATATTTGTTTATGCACCGTTAAAGTCCAGACTTCTTTGGTTAATCATCGTTTAGGTGTTAAACATTTCCGTATGTAATCTGTGCAAATTATTTTAAAACAAAATTATTTTACCTACCTTACCTATTTTGCTCTGACAAGGGACAGGAAACAAGCATATACATTCCCCCCTTATAAACCTTTTGTGTGAGGTTTCAAAGCATACATTGATAATAATCTGAAATAAAATGGGTAGTAGTTTCCTGTAAATAATAATAAGAAATGATGTGGTTATTGTTGAACATGTCGAAGTTTCTCTGTACTGTGTATACATCATATCTAGGGAAAGGCTTTGTTATATCATGCGTTTCCACAAGTTTACAAAGGATTTTTCCTCTTGGTGTTGTTTTGTAAAAACAAACAAAAATTTTGTACATAGGAAAACTTACTTAAAATGATAGCTTCTCTTTGTAGTTTTATTAAGGTGTTGTAAAGGACGTTGACCGAAACACTTTGTAATAAACGCGGGTGCGAAAAACGTGCGCACGGTCAATGCTTTTACAATTATATAAACTATTAAGAAACATTCAATTCTTATCGTTTCATTTTGATGCAGAAATAGGATAATTTATTAATTTACCTGTTCAATCAATCGTTTAATCAGTTTCAAATGAAATGCTGTGAAGATGTTTTGGATAGCGTAATGAAAGGTGCGTTCTATTTAGACAAAATATCACTTCAAAACTACCATTCTGTTATTTGCCTCCAATCAAAACGAACCCCTATGAAACATTTATGCTATTTCGCTATGTGAAAATTAAAGCAGCACACACTGGGTTAGACTGGTACCCGGCTGTTATTTGCAAGCTTGACAATACCGTTGTATATTCCGAAGGCATACTGAATATTTTACGGAGGGAACCAACCTAACACTGGATACAATTGTTGCAGTTGTTTCTGTGTACTACGTCATTGGCATTTCGTGTTTATATCAAATCTTGCATGGGTGGACATCTCTGTTGTTATGAGCGAGTCTGATTATGGTTAATAGAATAGAGAATAATGGGGCAAAAAGTGCAGAATAAAGGGCTAAGATAATAAAGAACAGAGAAATAGGCAAAAAAAAAGAAGAAAAAATAGAGAATAACGAGGTGCTAAACTATAAAGAATAGAGAATAATGGACACAAAATATAAAACATAGATAATATTAACATTAAAAATAATAAAAAAAAACAACAGAAATGAAGGATCCCCATCAAGACCCTCATGTATAACTTATCTAGATTCGTTAGCGATTTTGTGCAATCGTAACTACTCGGCATTTCTCGTACAATAACGTTATTGTAGGCGTAAGCAGAATGGTTGAGCAGTGCGATTAACAGCTTTTCATTTATTAAGTCGTGTTTCTGTTTTACAGGAGGTATCATAACTGAGGACGACCTTGCTGGTTACACGGCACTACGAAAGAATCCTGTGGTAGTTAAACTAAACACAGACAAAACTGTGTATTCCCCTCCACCGCCGTCCAGCGGAGCAATTGTACAGTTCATATTGAAAATACTGGACGGTTTGTAGTAGAACTTATAGGGGTTTACGACTCTTTAAAAGATGAGGTATTTTCAAATTTAATAGTGTTATGCGCTGCGTTTGAGAATACTGTTAAAATATTTTTAGTAGATGGAAAGTATGGAACAATAACTACTTTTAGAAACAGCATACACAAAATATATAAACTAAAGTTAAGGAATAAATAGAGGCACAAAGTTCGTGAATTTAGAAAGTATGCTTCTGAGCACGATCTTGCTGGATACACACAACACAGCAGTACGGAAAAGAAATAGTGTCTCCTTTAGTGCTAAAGTTTCCCCACTCTTATTAATGATATATGCATTTATAGAAGAAAAAATAAACAAATGAATTTAAAAACATATTTATTTTAAGGATGTTAAAAATGTATGCTGCAGATAAATAGTGTTTTATGCTTTATTCATTATAAAACATGAATAAAAGACGATGTAGGGAATAAAAGACGATGTAGGGAATACTTCAAAGAGACAGCAACACAACGACACAAATAACCAAAAAAAAACCATCTAGATAGATAATTAACATGCTGTCTTTAAAAAAATACATCATAATCTACTCAAGTCTAAAAGGTTTTGAATAATCTAAACAGAGACAAATGAAACATCTCCAATAAAAAAAAAACATTAAGATTTGAAAAAGACAACAACTTTCACACAGTTTTAATATTTATTATAAAAATATCGAAAAATAAAATTTGCCATCGATTACATTTGAACATGTTCATCATGTTTTTAAAATAACACCGAACGTTCCTTATCTCAGTACTTTTTCTCCCCAAAGTCAGATCGTATTAAAGGGGTCTTAAAATAAAGCGGAATATACCAATGGACAATCAAAATCATAAAGAGACAACGTGAAGCAAAAAGTCGAAAAGGCAAATAACAGTATACAAAACACTGCATAGAAAACTGACCGAGAAACATGAACCCCTATGGAAACCGGGGATGAACTCAGATGCACCAGAAGGGTATGAACACTGATGAAGTTCCATATATCTCGGATATTTTACCCGAAGGATGAACATTCAATGGTATTTTCAAACGCGATGTAGGAACGACCTCTGATTAACCTTCAGTAATCTGTAAACGAGATGTCTTTATTTTTTACATCGTATTGTAGGATATAACATGAACGAGAAAAGTCTTTCTTGTAAACAAAAAGAAATAGTGTTATGGCATAGAATCATAGAAGCGTTTAAGTTTGGTTTTGCTACAAGAACGAACCTTGGCGATGGAGATGTTGAAAACGAGGCTTTTAGAGAAAAATTAAACGAGGTAAGTACAGATCATACAAAAGTAATGTAAATTAAGTGAAAGTAGAAAAGTCACTATTAGAAGACAGAAAACATTCAACGTCGGAAGTCATGTTAAGAAGACAGATTATATGATTGTCACCTGCTTAAAAATAACATGTCCGGTTCGTTCGTTCTGCGAAAACAATTTTTTGAAGTACGTAGGAATTTAATGGAAATTTGAAAACAACGAGATTGTGCATATTGCAAGATTCCGACATGCTTAAATAAACTGCATTTTTATCGCTTAAAACAAACAAAATCTGCATTCAGATTCTTCACTTAATTTTAAAGTCCGATGTTGTGTGGTAAATGTTTAACGGCATTGATTCAATTTCGACAAATTTACCTCTTATATTCCGTTAACAATGAATTATAGATGTTAGAACATGCTTCAAAATGCTTTTTTAACTGGGGTTTCCGAAGGAAAATAACAGTTATTAATTTGGTGAGTTCATGAGTTATGGTTCTTGATAGATTGAAAAATGACACTTTATGTCGTTTCTGTGCAATTACTTATAAACCACTTGACCAATGCTTTTAAAATTTTAATATGTTGTTACTGATAAAAAATGGAGGTCAAGTTAGATATTCATGATTTTCACTTTTTCCTTCCAGTAGATTTGGTTCTTGATAGATTGAAAAATGGCACTTTATGTCGTCTCTGTGGAATTACTTATGAACCGTTAAACCAATTAATGCTCTTGAAATTTTAATATGCTGTTACTGATGATAAAATGGTGGTCAAGTTTGATAATGACGATTTTCATTTTTGCCATTAAGGAGTTATGGTCCTTCATATATTGGAAATTTACACTTCATGTTGTTTACGTGCAATTACTTATGAACCGTTCAGGCAACGCTCTTAAAATTTTAATATGCTGTTACTGATGACAAAATGGTGGTCAAGTTTGATATTGAATATTTTCTATTTTGCCGTTCATGAGTTATGGTCTTTGATAGATTGGAAAATAGGCATAGAATGCGGCAGGTCAAAAAAGTTTGAAAGCGCCTTTCAGATATAGAAAACCCAGTTGCTGTCAATTTGACAGCTCGTTGTTTATTTGCGTGTGTATAAATGCCGCTTTCAGCACTATTGGCTATTTCGTGGCGGTCAGTTTGTATAAGCGGAGGAAGCCGGACTGCCCGGAGAGAACCACCGACCTTCGGCAGGTAAACTGGCAATCCTAGTCAATTAAGATTGGAATCGAACGCACCTGCCTCGTGCGTAGCTCGAATTCAAAACATCAGTGCTGACAGGCTAGTGGTACAGTAGTTGAAATTCTTATACCAATCGACCAGCAAGGTCCCTTTCAAAATGCTAACCAATTTTCATACAATTTGAGTTTGACATTTTTCAACACCACATAGTACAAATTTAAGTAACATAAAATAAGATTTTGTTAAAAAGGTTTTATATTATAGTAATAGTGCTTTCCATATACATTTTAATAAATACATCTCCCCCACAAAAAAAAATTATAAAGCTGTTAATTCCTATTACGTATTTCTGTATCTATTAACTAAACTTTTAAACCAAAAAACTTTATTATTTTTATTATAGTTTCTATGCACTTTAACGTCCGAGGAGTTTGTAGATGAAATACGTTCTCAGATTTCGGATAGTCAAACTTTTGGAACAGACTACTACGGACCAACTTTTTTTGATAGAGTAAATTCGTCAGGAACTTCACACTTGTCTGTACTAGCTCCGAATGGAGATGCTGTATCAGTGACCAGTACCATCAATTTTTTGTGAGTGATTGCAGTAACATAAATGTTAAGATACCATTGCTACTCCGCATACAACGTAATAATAGACACATGACGCCTTTGGACTTAACCTATTGTGTACAGACATCAGAGTCTATTGTTGAAGACCAAAAATCTTTTGATTTTTTTTGGTCGTTTGGTAGCTGTCTCATTTATAAATATCCCTCATCTCCTTTTATCCATACTTAAATGAAAACGTTGTTTAGTTCAACTTATATACAGAGGTTAAAAAATATAACAGCTGGTATGGTGCTCTAAGGGGAGAATGAAAGGCAGCGTCGAACGGTAAAAAGCAATAAACCTACATATTTATGCAAATGGTTCACTTGACTCTTATTATCTGACATAGTAGAAAACTTAACCAACCACAATCATATCACACAAAAACACAACGATCTGTTAAGATTGATTGAAGTATAAAAGGACGCATATTTTATTATTCATGACCATTAAAAATGTCTATTGATTAATATTTATATTTCAGTTTCGGATCTAAAGTTGTTGGAAGTCGGACTGGTATAATATTTAACAACCAGATGGACGATTTCTCTACACCAAACGCTATTGTTCCTGAATCACCAGCAAATTTTATTAAACCTGGGAAACGCCCACTTTCCTCAATGTCTCCTAGTATCATAGTTGGTCCTGACGGCTTGGTAAATCTAATCGTTGGAGCCTCGGGTGGTACAAAGATAATTACATCCTCAGTACTGGTGAGTTACACTGCGTTTAATAATACCACTGACGGATTTTAAACATTAGATGCTGTGCATATCACATGTTTTTTCTGAGGTCTAGATAAGCTAGTTAGTCATTTGACAGCTTTTCTACCTGCTCTTTTCACATGGAACACCTTTCACCTGGAATACCTTCCAGCTGGAATACCTTTCACCTGGAATACCTTTTTCCTGGAACACCTCTCAGCAGTTTTGGACATCAGGAAGTCTTTTGAACTTTAGTTGTTATGAGGACAGATTACTAAGGGTACAAAACATTTGAAATCAGTTTTAAAATCTCTTAATTTCTACAAGGAACTGTAAGGAGAACTGTTCTAGAACAATCACTAGAACATTACTAAGACTTCTCTAATTTTCATGCTTTTTTCACATTTCTCGATCGGTGAGAGAAAAATATCTATCATCTCTAGAGAAAACTTTGTTCTCGGCAAATAATTGGTCGAAATTTGAATATGATGTCAAATTTTCTTGGTTTCTTCTGAATTACCCATTGTGACGCCATGAAAAAGAACGACCATGTCTGATGACGTCATATATAAAGAACACAACTTTCTGACAATCTTTGAAAAGGAAGGATACACTTTAAACGATATCGTCTAAAAATCGTCTAGAGAAACATATTCCACCACTATAACTCGTGTATTACGATATTTCTCAACTCTCAACGGTTAAATTTTAATTATTTCAAAAGCTCGGCAAGCCTCGCGCTTTAAATATTAAAATTCAACTGTCTCAAATGGAGAAATATCATAACACACTTGATACAGTGGTGAAATCTATATCTTTAGAACAGATTCTGACAGAAGCTGTTATATACCCGGGAACTGTTTTGGATATTTATACCCTAGAATAGATTCTGACAGTTTTACATCAGAATTAATTTGGACAGTTTTAACTTATAACCGATTTTGACAGTTTTCACTTATAGCCGATTTGGACAGTTTTAACTTATAACCGATTTGGACAGTTTTACCCTAGAACAATTTTTGACAGTTTAACAGTAACAAACAAATTGACAGTTCTACGCTAGAACAGTTTTTGACAGTTATAACCAAGATCATTTCTGAAAGAAATACCATAGAACAATTTTGAACAGTTCTTCCATGGAACATTATTGACAGTTCTACCCTTGAATATAGCTTGACAGTTCTACCCTAGCAGAGTTTTGGACAGTTCTACCATAAAACAGATCCTGACATTTTTACGGTAAACATTTTTTGATATTTATATCATAGACCATGTTCTAACAGATATACTAGTACCCTAGAACAGTTTTGGACAGTTCTTCTCTGGAACAGGAACCGATTCTCACAGTTATACTCTAGACTAGAGCATAGTGTGACAGTTCTCCCCTAGCAAAGTTCTTGGCAGTTTGGTCTCATTACAGATCCTGACAGTTTGGTCACTTTTCATGCTTTTTAAACCTGTAGTTAAATAACAGATAAAACCCTGTTGGCGGTGGTATCCTTATTGGTATTGCCTGTTTATAAGACCGCTTTCATGGCTTTAATGTTCTCAGTTTCATATTTTTGGCTTTCAAATATTTTGGTCTCGATAATAAATAATGACGGTTGTTCCAGAAACACGTGTTACGCATACATAAATCATTTTTTTGGAGGCACCGTGACAGGTTCGTTCTTAATGTGAGAACGTATGGCAAAGGTACGATCTTTTATGTTAGTGTTTTAAAATACTATGGAATTTAATGTTATTTTGTTTAAAATACAAGAAAAAATAAATTGATATTCCTGGTATAAAACAAACATGTGCGTGAAAATATAATGTCACAACGGAGTGTCTAGGGACACAGAGGTGTATCAACAGGATAAACGTCACCTGTTATACATATATCATCCATCCATAAATCGAGGTTCTTTTCGTTAGATCTTTAATGTAATGCACAACCACATTTTCACATACACAGAAAACGAATCAATGTTATTAGCTCTATATATAATTAATGTCATATAAATACAAATACATAATGGTAATTTTCAGGTTACAGTTTTAACACAATGGTTAGGTTTTAGTATTAAGGAAGCTATTGACCACAGAAGATTACACCATCGCTTACTTCCGCCTATTGTTGATGTAGAACGAGGATTTCCAAAAGTAAGTATAATCTATTGAACATAGATGTTACAAATTTAGTTACCTCCGCCTAATATTTGTGTAGACATTTAAATAATATCTAATAAAGCCTCATTGTTAACTATGACATTCAGTTTCAAACATTAACAATACAGTGGGTGCCACTAGTTAAGCAGGAACTGCTGACCCTTCAGGAGTGTAAAGAACAGTTGAAAAGGCTTGATTCACATATATCGGATAGTTTCCAATCTCTCTGTTGAAAATCGTGGTACCAAGGAAATCCACTGCGCTTCGCTGAAAAGCCAAAATACCTCATTGACATGACATGAATATCAAATCATCATAGTACCATTTTAATTTAGTGAACCATCGCAATGAGATGAATACAGTAGCATAAAATTGATTGCGTGTCGATGCAGCTAATTATCATTATAACTATAAAAATATTAAGATGTGGTATGATTGCAATTGAGTCATTGAACAACTAGAGACAAAATGGCTTGGATGCAAGCTAATACATGTCATTAGTACGGCCTTCAACAATGAGCAAAACCCATACCGTATAGCCGGCTATAAAAGGCTGTAAAATGTCAAAATATTAAACAATTCAAACGAGAAAAACCAACGTTCTGATTCATGACAAAGCAATTAATGAAAAAAAACAGATATGACCGACAGCAAATCAACGACAATAACTGAATTGTAGTCTCCTGACCTGGGACATGCGGCCTGATTTGTGACAAAGCAATTAACGAAAAACAGATATGACCGACAGTAAACCAACGACAATAACTGAAATGCAGTCTCTTGACCTGGGACACGCCATAAGAAATGTGTATGGGAATAAACGTGTTTGTGAGCTCTCAATGATATCCTACCCTGGGTCTGCATGATTGTTTGTTTCTTAGCACTCGCATATTACACGCGAGTCTTTGACTGACCTTTTTCACAGCAAATTCAATTGTATTCAATGATATCCTACCCGGGTCTGAATGATTGTTTGTTTCTTAGCACTCGCATATTACACGCGAGTCTTTGACTGACCTTTTTCACTTTTACTGTATATAATGCATTTTTTCTTATAATTAGCTCATGTCACAGGACAAAATGATATATCATTATAATCTTCTTATATCTTAGTTCATTCTGGATGGATTAGCTCTACGTGGACATAATATAACAGTACAAGACAGTGCAGGGTCTGTTGTACAAGGTGTTCTTCAACGACGAGAAGGTTGTGTTACTGCTAACTCGGACTTCCGCAAGGAGGGATTGCCCGATGGATTCTAATAAAACAGACACTACAATTTTGTTGTTTTTGTATATGCCCAATAGACGATGAATATAGATGACCCATTGATAAATATAAATAAATATATATATTAGTCAAATGCGTATTGTTAAAATAGACTTTTTCACTTTTTTTGGTCTTTTTGAAATTGTTGTTGGTGCTGTATTTAGACCCCTCTACCAAGAAATTTGTTTTACATGCACAGGTATAAAAATGGCGGTTTTTATCCAACGCAATCATAGGTTTGAACGTTGTTTTCAATTTAGACTTTTATATATATATATATACGTCTAAACATGTTACAACTTAAAAAAGACATTTTCCGTCGGATAACCCGAGGTTATTCAGGGCTTACACCATAATTTATATATATTTTATCTCAAATTTAGCTCAACAATGTTAGATCTAGATATAGAATATAGGTTTCTTTAGTCGAGTAATGCCTTCCTTGTCACAGTACATGATGTATAGTGGCAAGTAGAGGTGGTACCTTTCAGATCAGCTATGCTTGTCATAAAGGATGATAATGTTACTTACTATGCCGTCACAGCAAATTTAATTGTATATACGTCTAAATATGTGACAACTTTACGACAAACGTTCTTCGTCGGATAATCCTTGGTTATACAAGGCTAACACCATAATTTATATATACTTTGCGACAAACACATATTTAACCCAACCATGTTAGCAAATGTTTGTTCTTCTCTCAGCGGGATTCGAACCATGCTTCTATATTTTATACAACCGAATTAGTCTAGTGGTCTAGGGTGCTAGACCTATCGCAGGCGGTGTTACGACAATGTCACAGAAGCAGGGATTCAAAAATAAGGATTTTTTTTTATCTAAAGGCTTTGGTTCTTTCCTGGATTTTTGTCTTGAAATGGAAAGAGACGAATGACTCAAAACTTCTTTTTTTTCAACAGGTATATGTATGACGATTTCCGTTTACCCTTTTCAACTTTGCATTTGTTTTAATAAAATACTCTCTGTTCAATGTTCAATATTTCCCATCGTATGGCGAATTCCTGTCTCAATTGATATTTTAAACGAGTGCATTGTTCATCTTAAAAGAATTTTGTTAACCAAATGTGCTCCTGACGCAGGAACTACTGAGAGGGGAACGTTCGAAAGCGACACTTCACAGGTTTTAGAAGTCACAAGGATCACACGGGGTTTCGCCGATACGATTTGAACATTTGACGACTAAAGAAAGACTTTATGTTGTGGTTTTATGTCTGAACATATCATAATATTTGATTACTATGTGAGTTTATCGATTGTTTCAATCCCCTTTCGGGGCATTTTGTTTAAGGTTTTTTTAAGGGTGATGCTTTTGCTTGATATGTCATACCGCATTTAGTTTATCATGATTTGTATGTTTTAAATGAATAAACAATATTTGATCATCCGTAGAAAAAACGCAACAGATACTAAAGGAACATTAGAAAATCACCAGTCGAAGAAAAATAAACCATATACCATGGACAAAAAGAAAAACAAAGAAAAGACCAACAATTGTCAACAAAACACAAGTAAACTAAAGACTGAGCAACATTAACCCCTTCAAAGCTTTGACTCTGCAAATGGATATCATGGCAAGTAAAAATTCGATGAAGGAACTTTGATTTAATTTGATATCGTATTCATGATGTATATCATTTTCAAGAAAGTACAAGGCCTTGAACAAACCGTCATCATCGCAACGATATATCGATCCGTGTCAATAATGTGATTTTTTGTTGAAGATCGACGCTGTCCGAACGAACAGTTTTTGAAAATGCAAGGCTTGATAGGTAAATTGTACCGATGTATTCTATTGCACTTTCTTTCTGTTTATTTGACAAAAAAAATATAAGAAAGAAAGAACAAGCGCCTTTTCGTTGTTCAGAAACGGTAAAAAAAGTGTTTAAACTTATAATTATACAAGGAATATGAACCATATATACATTTTGTAGTTAATACCTACACTAACTAAATTGAATGTAAAAGCGATAAACATACAGAAACTGATCCAGATTAAGTTAAAGCAAAGTATTGTTAAGATTAACTTGTTAGCTTTAAAGCAACGAAAACAAATCACGATAAGCTGAATTTAAGTTAGCAAATAAATTTCTCGTTTAAAGTTGCAACATTTTAAAGATGGTGTAATAGTCAGGAGTTCTACTGAGAACTCTCAAATTTGAAAGCTCACTATCCATGTTAATTTCCATTATTTCCTATTAATTCATACATCTTTCTGCATTACAACATGCACCATCGGTTATTCCCCTTTCCCTATCGAACCAAACACGATATTGCATTATTTTGTGTGTTCCTTAAGATAACATACATAGATAGTAGTTACAATTAGACAATTTTCGTTAAACAAGAACACACAGTACCAAAAATTAACCAGATTGCCCATTGACCATCGAATGACGCACCATTATAACTAATTTACACTTTTCCTTAATGTAGCAAACACCATCTTATATCAAAACATACCCGTTTTAACAGGAAGTGTGCACCGTCACGGCCTATGTAATTCAACATTATGTACCTGAAGTTATATGTTGCTAGCTTCAAGTGATTGAATGTCTATTACCACTAGATATATATTGTTTACGTCGATTGCTATAATTCTCCTTGGTTTCCTCGATATTTTTAAAAATTTAAATACGATTCTTGTAACATATTGGCAAATGGCTGAAAAGTTCCTTTTTCAATTAAGAAGTAAAATCACAAAAATACTGAACTCCGAGGAAAATTCAAAAAGGAAAGTCCCTAATCAAATGGCAAAAATTCAAAAAGGAAAGTCCCTAATCAAATGGCAAAAGCTCAAACACATCAAACGAATGGATACCAACTGTCATATTCCTGACTTGGTACAGGCATTTTCTTATGTAGAAAATGGTGGATTGAACCTGGTTTTATAGCTAGCTAAACCTCTCACTTGTATGACAGTCGCATCAAATTCCATTATATTGACAACGATGCGTGAACAAAACAAACAGACACAATAGGTAAAAATGTCAAAAATAGGGGTCGTGTCAACATTGTCTTATCATCTTAATCACTATAAAAACAAACAAATGTAACAAAGAAGCACAAAAGGACATACATCAAATTTCACATCCTCATTTTGCTTAATAGTTCGAAGAAATAATGTCAGAATGTTTCCCTTATAGGTGTAAATGAGTACGTAATAAACTTGGGCGACGATGGTTGCTATGTAATGTGTATTGTAATTTAGAATGACCATTGCCATTGGGAATGTTTTATGGTGCGGTGGCATGTCATAGCTTCATTTGAACTCTGTAGGATAGTTGTCTCATTAGCAATCATACCACATCTCTTTATTTTTATATAAGAAGATATTAATAACATTTACCAAATAAATCAGAAGGAAAGATTTAAAGTTAAATTCTTGACATGTTTGACTTGATAACTAATTTCAAAATTAAAAACTAGGCGGGAATTACTAGAAACAGTTAAATGTCTGTCATACCTCAACGATATTATTAGTGTTTATATACAGGTGTTTTATACTGGTATATATGTCCGCACTGTGAAATATTCTTGGTACTGCATATATTAAGTTATGATAATGCAACACTCGTTAAAGTAAGCACAACAATTTAAATCCAGCTTTCGTAATGATTTTATGAAGAATAATAAAAAAAAAAAAAAAAACTTCACATAGCTTGGTAGCATGTCGAGCATGATATTGCTTCAACGAAAAGGTGTTGTTAGATGGTCGAATTATATCATACGTCTGTAAAAGTATTCCCTAGAGTTATTGTTTGAACTAAAATTATTCTGCTTCATTGCAAGTGTTTTCTATAAATTTCCCACACATTAGTTTGTCGTTATCTTCAATGTTAAAGTCAGTTTACATATATAGAGCACTACTTGTTCAGATTGGAAGACTATTACATTTATTTATGTACCTGTTCAAAATCAATACCCCGATAATAAAGGTTTCTCTGTTGTTGCCATCTGCCAATATTTTTATTCTGATCATCGTTTTATCATATAACAGGCCATTGGTTTTCTCGTTTGAATTGTATAGCATTTTGTAACGACGGGGCCTTGTCTCCATCACTACAAGATAATCGTGTGCTCATTGTAATAGACCGTAAGGTGATCTGTAATTTCATACATCAATATCCTTTGAACCCTCATGGAAAACTGTCTTATTCACGCTCATACATGTACCACACCTACTTTCCTTTATATGAACACGGAAAGAACCACTGACATTCGGCTGAATAACTTTGCAATCCTAGTCAATTAATTTTTGAGTCGAATGCACCTTGTCACGATAGGAGTTCGAACTCACTATCACATAATTGACAACGTTGACAAATTGTCGTTTGTTGATGTATTTAATATTTGTTTTTCCCTTATTATATTTTACATCAGGACGTTACTTTTTTCGTTTCAATTGTTTAATATTTGCTATGTCATGGCCATTTATCGCTTGCTATGCGGCATGGGTTTTGCTCATTGTTGAATTCCGAACGGTGACTTATAGTTGTTAACTTCTATTTCATTTGATATCTGGTGGAAAGTTGTCGCATTGGCAATCATACCACATCTTATTTTTATGAATTATAAATGTTTTCTTTTATTGATCGGGGGAAGAGAAAGGCAGACGACGATGGTGATAAGGAAAATTCTAGGCCAAATAAGTCAACTAAAACGGATAGTTGTATTGAAATTGTTGAAATTGAAAAAAAAAAACATCAAAACAACGGAAAAGGCACGCAAGCGAAGATAAATATGAACAGGACTTTAAATGGCTAATCGTCACAGAGGAAGGATATTACTGTTCTGTGTGCCAAAAATACAGCACTAAAGCGAGGAACTGGACAGAAACTTGGATCGATAGGCCATGCATTCGCAGGAGGAAGGAGTCCTGCAAAAGCCATTATTGAAAAAAATCAAATCAAAGAAGAATATTTGACAGTTTATGTGACTACATCTATTTATTTTTGTTCAATTCCATTAAATG